AAACTTTATATGTTCTATTTCTCAAAAAGTTCAGATCTGAAACAATTAATATACATGAATGGTATAAATTAAAGACATTTAAATTTTTAATATATTTTATTATTGATATTACGTTATTGATTTGTTCCTTTATCTCTCTTGATTTACCAAATTCCTGTGACCCTTCTCGGCATTTGGTGCATGAGTCTTTTGCTGATACACACACACATTTTAGCACAAAATTATTATTTAAATTCTAATTCTTTTAAATAGTTTGTGTAACCCCTTTAATATAAACAAGAATTACTTTAAAAAAATTCAAAATAAAAAATTTTCAGCTTATACAGAAAAAGAACTCACTCTACATACGATTGGGTTATTCGTGACCCACTTTACACAAGATTAGGTCATTTGTGACTCAAGGTGGAACTTTCGAGGCATTCTGGTCATCCTGGTCGAAGGATATGCATGAACTGAGAATGGTAACGCTCCAGACCTGTCTCCTAAATGCTAAACTTCTTTTAGGGAGAAATAGATCGTTATTTGATCCAGCGCTTTTAGTATTTCAAAAAGAAAAGAAATGCGCAGAGTCCCCACTGAATAATCAGTTGTGTGTACTGAGATTTAATCGTTAAAAAAGTAATCGATTTTTTCAAAAGTTGCGCCCGTATAAATACCGAGTCCTGAGTTTGGCCGTAATTTACTGGTTCCATTAGGTCCAGGTAATAAAACGATCCTACGATATTAAGATAAAGTATATGAGTACGCGATTGTTTTCGTTGCTCTGCTGACGTTGCTTCCCCTTTGTCGTTACATAAATAACAGTAATCTCATTTTCTGTTATTACAGCCGGTTCGTGGCGCATATTCGCGTTTATTGGATCTGTTTACAGTAAAGACCTCCGAATGCGATAAACGCACGTTTAGCGCTTGCCGAGTATACATACACGTGTATCCGTCCCGGAGGAATCTCGCGGAATCTTGCGAACGGTGGCTGACGAAACATTTTCCCGCGAGGTAGGTAGGTAGGTAGGTAGGTAGGTAGGTAGATAGGTAGGTATCAAAGAATTCCTCACGACTCAGTAACTCAGCTCGATTCGTCGGGGCGGAGGGGAAAGGGAGAGAGGAAAGAGGGATGTACTGTCGACGCGGGTACGCGCAAACTGAGCGGCAACGGCAACGCGTGCGTCCGACAATGCACCACTATTACCTCCACCACTGTTGCTGCATGTTACGCCAAAAAGATATTGCGGCAGCCGCTCGCACCGCATCGACGGGGACGTCAAGACGCGAAATCCGCGGCAGCCTCCCCCCCTTCCCCTACCTTCCCCGTAGCGAGAGCGTTTTCCAGACGATGGACGTCAAACGAAATCCCGAACTGCGTGAATGCGTTTGATCTCTCGCTGGTTTTAGACACGGCGAACAACTTGCCGCGCTATCCGACTCTCGTCTCGAATGTTTTTGTATCTCGGAATTCTCTCTTCAGCTCCTTTGCCGATAGGTACTCGTCAGTTGTCTCAACGCTTCACCTTCACTCTTCTCGTTTATTTAACGCTCTCGAGAAAATACATACTAAGGGATGATGATAACTTCTTGGTGCCTGATGTTAATAATTTTTCGGATCAGACAGCCAGAGCATAAGCGGAAAATACAATAAACAATTGCACGCGTGTTCCTTTTCTTTTGTATCTTGTTTAGAATAATTCTTATAATAATACATAATAATACTTATAACACATATTTTTTAATTCTACTTTCTTGATAATTAAGCATTTAAATTAAATTAAATTGCCTAAACCTATAAATTTCATTATTTTGTCTACTTTTGGAAATTAATACTTACTATTTTATTAGTTGTATATAATCTTAATCATATCTATAACAAAATAAAAATAATAATTAATTAACGGTAGAATTATTCACACATTGATGTGCACTTATATAGGTTATATATGAACATGAAAAGTTTAATATTCTGAAGAAATTCTTCATTCCGACAGTGTATTTTTGATTCAATCTTCCTCATAGTCATGATTAGAGTAACTGTCGTTGAAGATAGATATAAGGAAATTTAATTTAATGAACGTTGACATTATACAAACAGAAAACAGTTTGCTTTTTAAATAATGACGGAGATTATATATATTTTATTTAAATAAATACTTATAATATATGTCTTGGCTATACTAATTAAAAACAGGATATTCTAATAATAAAGATTGACTCGTATATCTATAATATCTAAACGTCAAATTGAGAATTTTGATACATCGATATTCCGATATCCGGAATATTACTCTTTCAAAAAAGTATATTATAAATATTAATTAGATATAACGTCCATCTAAGCTTTAATCAAATAATGAAAATGCCATTAAATGCCAATGACAAGATAAATATTCTTTGCCGATTACATTAATTAGCAACTTTTATTTAGATTTTTTTACTCTTGCAAGAATAACTTTTTTATATTATATAAAAAATGATTCTAAAATTATATCTGAGAAAAAAATCAATACTTCCCAATAAACATTAGGACATTCTATGTATGTTCTATGTATATACATATGTGGCTATTGTATAATGTATGTATATACACGGAATGTGAAAAGTATATATATTACATATCCTATGTATGTGAAATAATTACCACATGTATGTATATAGGATGTCCACAGTACATACATAGGTATATTCTAAAGATATGCAGTGTACATTGGTGGTATATACAGTCCAATAAACATTAGGACATTCTATGTATATTCTATGTATATACATATGTGGCTATTGTATAATGTATGTATATACACGGAATGTGAAAAGTATATATATTACATATCCTATATATGTGAAATAATTACCACATGTATGTACATAGGAGGTCCACAGTACATACATAGGCATATTCAAAAGATATGCAGTGTACATTGGTGGTATATACATATATCATACATTGCTATATTATTTTAACAAAAAAATTTTTTTTATTTTGTAATTACATATTATTTGTAGAGTTTAAATTTGTTTCGCATGTTTTCTATTATTAAATATTAATTACAATTTATACGCAGTTTATAAATTCTTGAAAATACATCGAGATATATTCGGGATTCGAACCTGGATCCTTAGAACATCAGACTTATACGCTAACGCAGACCTAATAATACTTTATACAAAGGAGTTATTCTTTCCATTATATAAATGCCAGAATAAAGTATAAAATATCTCGTAAACTATTGATTTTTCGATAATTCTACCAAACTATTTTTTTATGCAGAATAATTTGAGGAATTAAAGTCAAAAATTGAATTTTTATTTAAAAAAGTGGATGTGACTTTTATATCTTTTTTTTTGTTAATTATTTAAAGGGATATTTTTTGTAAATAATATACGTGTTTAACGAACTTTTAATAGTTGCACCATAAATATATATGTACAATATCTACATCATCGTATATTGTATGTATACACATTTGATGTACATACATGGAATATACATGAGGTATATTTTACTTAATACATGGAACCGAACATGTTCGAATATACATTATATGTATATCCATACGATATCCTATGTATATCCATAAATGTATCTACATCATCGTATATCGTAGGTATACACATTTGATGTACATACATGGAATATACATGAGGTATATTTTATTTAATACATGGAACCAAACATGTTCGAATATACATTATATGTATATCCATACGATATCCTATGTATATCCATAAATGTATCTACATCATCGTATATCGAGATCGGAAGAGCACACGTCT